GGAAGGGCGTTGGGGGAGAGCGGCACAGCCCAGCTTGCGTGGCGTAAGCCGCAGAGGCCCACGTGCGAGAGGCACGCAGGTTCCCCGGGAGCCGCGGGGCAGGTGCGGTGCAGCCGCGTGTCTGGCCCGGAGGGGTGCGCTGGCCCAGCTCGCCATCCTTTTCGGGCCATGAAGTCTGCGGGGGTCTGGAGCCTGGGATCGCTCCCCGCTAGGAAAGAGCCAGCGGGGGCATGAAGCCCCTAACCCCTTTTCCTTTTTCCCTTTCTTTTTTTTCTTTTTGGAGACAGGGTCTCGCTCCCTCACCCAGCCAGGCTGGAGTGCAGGGGCCTGATTTTAGCTCGCTGCTCACTGTAACCTCGGACTCTTTGGCCTCAAGCGATCCTCCTGCCTGGGCCTCCCAAACTGCAGAGATTACAGATGTGAGAAACGCCTGACTTCTAACGTCAAAGAAATACAAATTAAAGTGAGACACTCTCCCTTCCCGCTCCTCCTTTTAGGATTAGCAAAGATTAAAATAATCCATAAAAGGAGACAAGGCCCCACTCCATGCGCTGGTGGCAGTAGACGTTAGTGAGCTTTTACGGACGGTAACTTGGCAAGTGGCACCAAAACGTTGCGTGCGCCTTGCTATTTCACTCCTAGAGGTCAATGCTACAGAAGAATCAGGAGCTCAAAGAGGTACGTCGACGGTCGATGCAGCTTTTGTTTATTCCTGCAAAGGTGAAAAGGGGGGGCAGTGTTTACTGGGTGGCGTGCAAATGGATCACAGCCCCTCGGGGGCCTTCTCCGACGCCCACAGAACTAGTAATACGTGCCCCACCTAGACCACGCAAAAACACAAGTGCTGCGGACGGCACGCAGGCCACCCCGGTGTGAACCCGGAGCCTGGGGAATGCGCGGCAACGGTTAATGCGGGGAGCGGGCGGCGGGGGCGGGATCCAGGGAGAACTTTCATTTTCTCTTCTAAATCCCTCTGCGGTAGCGGCCAATAGTGCAGAGAGAAAGAGAGTGGCAAATACGTATTTTTCATGACCGGAGGGAGTAACTGACCCTTAGGAGAGCCGAGCCTTTGCTTATGAAATCGGCGCCTTGATGGAGCACCTGCTGTATGCAGAGCCGCCTGCTCGAGCCTGGGAGCATTGCGGGCAGAGACGGGGGAGGAGCGCCTCGCTCCGCGGGGAGGGCGAAGTTGGGGCGCCCCCTTCCCCCGCAGCTGCCGGGGGCTACACCCCTGCCGTCGGCCGTCGTGCAGTTCCCACTCGGGCCCGCTCCCGGGCACCTGCACGGCGTCTCTCGGTCACCCTGCCCTGGGCTCCAGCCGCTCTCCTGGCACCTATTTTGTTCTCGACGCTGGAATTATTTTACTAAACTTCACCAAAGCCCCGCAAGGGAGGCATTTTCACCCCTGCTAGATGAGGAGTCACGCTGGGGATAAAGTCCGATTTGGGGCATGTGTTCTGCAGTCAGACTTAGGTCAGTGTCGGATCCACCACTTGTGAGCTGCGTAATCGTGGGCAAGTTAATCATCCTTTACTCACTGGGTCAGGGCTCCGCGTCTGTAAAAAGGGGTGGGAGACGAATAGCACCAGCCAGGGAGGAGTGCCAGGAGGACTCCGTGGGGCCATGCCATAAACCGCCGGCAGGAGCCAGGCACGGCGCTAGGCGCTCTCGTGGGCACCGTCTTAATGAGTGACTCATTTTACAGGCAGGGAAACTGAGGCTCGGAGGGTGAAGAATCTCGTCCTACGCCCCATCCAAGCAGAGACCAAGGTTGTGCTCACGGGTGCGAGCCTCAGTTTCCCCTCCCGAGGCGCCCCGCTGATGCCCCGCCCAGACGCCCCGCCCCGTCCAGGGCCCGCCTCCGGGCCTCGGCGCGCCGGGAGTGGCCCGCCCTCTGGCGCCGCAGCCCCGCCCGCCTGAACCAATCGGCTGCTGCCGGCGTCGGGTGCGCTCGGCCTCGCCTGCAGCCCTCCCGTCCCCGGCGCCCGCTCGCCTCGCTCACTCTGCCGCCGCCGCCCGCTGCCCCGCCGCCGCGTCTCCGTCGCCCACTCGGTAAGGCGGCCGGGCCGGGCCGCGCGCTGTGGGGAGGGCTGCCGGGCACCGCCCTGCGGGTTGCGGCGGGCCGGGGCGGGGGGCGCGCGGGTGCTGCCGGGACCCGGGCCGGGTTGTGGGGCGCCGGGGAGGACCCCAGCATTGCCCTTGGACCGGGAGTTGGTGGAAACCTCAAAACTGGGGGGGGACCTGGGGGTCTCCAGCCCCCCGTGAATTGGGTCTGGGGTCCTCCCGGGGGTCGGTCTGCCTGCGGTCGTGTCCCCGCGGCAGCGGGAGGGATGCTCTGCGCTCTGGCCTCGCAGGGCGCCTCTGGCCCGGGGCCAGTGGGGCCGCCCGCTTCCTTCCCCACCCCTCAGTCCGCCCGGACCGGTCCGGGTCTGGGGTCTGCCCCAGGTCTGTCTGGCCGCGGGCGAGTCCCCTGCGGCGGCGCGCGAGAGGTCCGCAGCTCGGGGCGGGTAGGGCCGCCCACTCCTTCCCGGGGCCATCCCATCCCCACCCCCGGAGTGCACTGGGTCTGGGGGCCCGCCCGGGGGTCGGCCTGCCGGCGGTCGTGTCGCGCGCGGCGGCGGGAGGGATGCTCGGGACTGGGCAGGGCGAGGTCGACCCCTACTCGCGCCCGCCCCCGCAGTGCAGCCCCGGGGACACGCCCTTGGCGCGGGGACTCCTGTGCGGTGCGCGCGCCGCGGCGGGCGGGACGGGGGTACCGGGCCCGGCCGGGCTTGTGCGCCCTCCCCGCCCCCGACGGCGCCGAGTCCGGGCAGGTGGGCGCGGAGAGTCCGCCCAAGGTCGCGCGGGGCCGCGGTGCGTGGGCCGTACCACGTGACCGTGCCGGGGTGAACTTGGCCTCCGGGCCGGTCGGCGGGGTCGGGGCACTCCGGGCAGCCCCCAGCTGGGAACCACCGGTGTGGCAGCCACTGCCGGCTTCGTGGTTTCGTTGGGAAAGGCGGAGGACCCGCGCCTTTATCATGTAAATCGAGCTTGGCTTTCCTTAAGGCCGAAGGACGACCGAGACGGGGGCTGATCTTACTTTTCCCCCCAACTTGAGAGTTAAAAATCCCAAGTAACGGCTAGGTTAAACACCCAGGGCAGACTCAAGGTTCCCAACGACGGGCCGGCTTTCGGTTTCCCTCCGCTCCACGTACTGAAACATTAACAAGATTTTAGTAGGAAGCTGGTAACTTTGTAAGTTAGCGAGTAAAATGAAAATCAGTTTCACCTCTTTGAAATGTGTATTTTGTTACACCTCATTCCACAGGCGTCGGGTTTCTGGTCATTCCAGATATTCAAGCATGTTTGTTTCCTTTTAAGCCATAAACCAAATGAATAAAAAAAAAATGGCTGAACAGCGCTGGTCTTTCATTGAAGCCAGCAACATCCTCCCCCTTTCCAAATTACTTAAGGCCACCTGGCAGCCAGAGCGCAGCCGCAGGTGCGAGGACCTCGGTGCAGGTGAGATGGGCTGCCTTGGGGAGCATCAGCATTCAACTCACGGGCTCCTTTTCGCTTGCATAAATTACTGGTTTCCTTCCTAGGAAGCGTTGCTTTAGACTAGACCTTGCACTTGAACTCCATCTTTATACGGCCTTTGGAATCAAACAAGAAAAAGGGCCAGCTTTAAGGCTGCACATACTTTGTATCAAAGTGGCAGAAACTGGCATCGCGCACAGGCCAAAATAATCTTCCGAGTTTGTGCTAAACGCAAACCGCCTAGCCTGGAGGGGAGGGAGTACACTGGGTCCCTTCCGCTGCTGCTGCGGCGGCGGCGGCGGCTCTTGGCCCCCGCCCCGGCCCAGCGGTCACCGAGCGGTCAGGCTCGGGCTCTGGGGAGTCCTGGGCAAGGACCTGCGCTTACCCAACCTTGGCCCCGCGTGCCCATTCATAAAAACGCCGTTGGTTTTTATGCGGGCCTCGCAGAGAACCCCTTTCCAGGCGCGCCCGGGCTGTTGGGCGCAGTGCCCGCGCTTCTGGTTTACTGGACGTGGCATCTGTCAGCCGACGCACGGAGCGCCTAGCCGTCCCCAAGGCAGAGCACCGCAGGGCCCGGCCTTCCCGTGGCCGCGTTGCGCCCGCTGTCGGCCGGGTGGCCGCGGCGGCGCGCGCCGGCGAGCTCCGGAAAGCCTCGGCGGGCACGGCCGGCGGAACAGGATCTGCGCGCCCCGGGCGCGCGGGGGCGGGGCCCCGCCGACCTTTCCCCTACTTTTCTGCGCCGTCACGTGACGCCCGCCCAGGGGCGGGGGAGGGGCGGGGCGGGGCGCGGAGCCGCGGCGCAGGACGCGATCCAAGCTGGCAATTAAAAATGCCGCTCGCAGGCCGGGGGCCGGGGAAGGTGGGGGCGCTGGGAGGCGGAAACGCGCAGCCCGCTCAGGCCCGGGGCTGCTTCTGCGCTTTGATCGTTTGCATTTTTCCCTTTGTTGGAAAAAAAATGTTTAGTCACTGCGCAGGGTTGCTATTGGCAGGCCACTGCGGTACTGCGGGGGAAGCCTGGGCTTGAGAATTGCGGAAGAATTTGGTGCTTCGAGAGTTCAAGGTTGTGTGTTTCAGGCGTGTTTGAGAGAGTCCCTGTCACGCTTCAGCGAGTCCTCAGCTGTCTTGGAACGGCTCTTGCCAGGGTCCGGCTTTCTTTGCGAGGGCATTTTTTTGGTTTGTTTAAAAAATAAGCACTACTAGCACACGGTGCGAAGTTAGAGAGGGACGCTTGGGAATGCGGAGCAGGCGGCCTCCTCGCTCGCTCGCACCCTCTCCAGACGCCACCGCTGTCGGTTTCTTTGACTTTGGAACTAGTCTGGGCTGTAACGGGGCATGTTTTTTAAAAAGTCTATTAGTTAACACAAGTAAATATTTCCTGCTTGTTGATTTCAAGTACGTGTTGCCTTTTGTACACTTCAACTTTTACCCCATGCAAATATTAGGTGAACCTTGGGTCCCCAGCAGGCCCTGGGCTGCGGGCAGCTCGCCCTGTTGGGGTGACCTGACCAGCCTCAGTCTGGAGGAACGCATGCCTTTGCCTTTCCCTCCTCTGGGTGGAAGCTAGCGACGAAAGAGGCTGCTGCGGAGTGCGGTGTGCCTCCCTGCCCGAGTGCACAGTAAGGTCACCGTCACCTTGGAGGCTGGGGAAGTAGGGTGGCCACCCCTCTGCTTCCTGAGGGTCACCGGCTAGTCACTGGGAGTGCTTCAGGTAAGGGGAAAGGAGTATTCCACACTGTTGATGATGCTGGTGGTTTGCGGTCCATCCCAGGAACCTGGGTGTCGTCCTGTTTTCTTCCCATTCCCTGAGCCCCCACATGGGCGCTGCTCGGAGCTATTTATCTTTCTAAATTGCTCTTCAACTTGCCTTCCTTTTGCGCCCCTGGCCTGGAGCGGGCATTCAGATACAAGCTGAAGGAGTGACAGCAGGAGGGAGGAGGCGCCCTTTCTCCCCTGGGTTGCTGCAGCCTCCTGTCTTGGCCGGGCCCTTTGGAGCCCCACCCTTAGTGCTGTTTGTGTGACGGGAAGTTGATGTCCTTCGTGTTCTATGTTATGGCCGGGAACTTCAGGACCTGACACCACTCCGTTCCTGAGCCCTGGTCCCACGGGTCTTGGCTTGCTCCCGCAGGGCATTCAGCCCATCTGTGTCCAGATGCCCTGGAGGGGTGAGCTCGGTGAGGGCAGGAACATCGAGTTAATTCCCTCTTTAGAATCCTCCCCCCAAATAAAAAAAGTAATACATGTTTGTATTAAAAGCAAATATAAAATAACGTTACTTTTAAGAAATTGTCATATACTATAACTCAAATTTGGCTTTTACGTAATGATTTTTTATTAAAAAAAATTTTTTTTTACAAAGTATCCATGTAATGATTGTTTATTTTTTATTTTATTTTTTTTTTGAGACAGAGTCTCGCTTTGTTGCCTAGGCTAAAGTGAGTGCCGTGGTGTCAGCCTAGCTCACAGCAACCTCAAACTCCTGGGCTCAAGCGATCCTTCTGTCTCAGCCTCCCAAGTAGCTGGGACTACAGGCATGCACCACCATGCCCGGCTACTTTTTTTCTATATATATTAGTTGGCCAATTAGTTTCTTTCTATTTATGGTAGAGACGGGGTCTCGCTCTTGCTCAGGCTGGTTTTGAACTCCTGACCTTGAGCAATCCGCCCGCCTCGGCCTCCCAGAGAGCTAGGATTACAGGCGTGAGCCACCGCGCCCGGCTGATTGTTTATTTTTTAAAGCATTTATCTGTGCGTTTCCAAGTCTGCTCCTGTAGTGCCCTAGAAGAGATCTGATACATGGAGGTTTGGTTTCTTTATACTTTTCTCAAACACACCCCATGGTGCAATGTGAGGTCCAATTCTGTATGCTCAAAATGCATCAGCAAATTGCTAAAAGTTAAATGTCAAAGTTAGAAGGGAGGTCAAGGTATCAAGTGCTGGCGTTGAGATTTGGCATGGGGGGTGCAAAGAGGAAGGACAGGAGAGCCGCCCTCTAGGCACACCTGTGTTAGCGCACCTGGCCGCGGGCAAAGGTAGCAAGACCGTGTTGCTGCATTAAAGACCTAAGTGCGTTGGGGCCGGTCACCTTCAGTTTGTGTGGGGTGTGGGTGTTATGCATACTTTATGTGCCAGGGGACATTGTGTGAGAGGCAGTGACATTTGCTCAAGGTCCCACATCTGAGTATGTGTTAGAGCTAGGATTTGAACCCAGACCTGTGTGTTCTCTCTTTCCCAGGCTGCTTCCCAGAGCAGTGGGCGGCCAGAGGGCCTGGGTTAAGAGGTCCCCACCCAACCTGGGGTGGGTGTGATGCTGAGTCAGCCTCGAATGTTTCTGGGTTTCCTTTAACTCATCTGTAGTATGGTGGCCCTGAAACCTGTCCTTCTGTGTCACATGAGTTTTAATGACAATCCAATAAGAAGTCAGATGTGGAAAGAATTTTGAGTGTGTGAAATAAATATTGGTTCTAGCAATCCGTGTCCTGGCTGCAGGCGGGTTTTATGGGCACCACTTGCATTTTGCAGTCCTCAAATGGGAACTTGTGGTTTGGTAAATTCAGTTTACTCTGCGTGCAAAGAGGAGGAAGACGCAAGGGAAATACAGGGCGCACAACCTCCATGGTCGTAGGAACATTTGTGGGAACAGAATACTGGTACCGAGAGGGGTTTGGGACCTCCCCAGGTGGATGCATGCCTGTCCCCATGCCTGTCCCCAGCGGTATGGAGCCAGGTCAGGCACAAGCCAGCGGAGCACAGACTCTTCACCTTCCAAGTAAGCCTCTGAGTAGAGAGGCCAGGTAGTTGGGCCTGTCGATACGTTGGGTGTTTATAAAATTGTGATCCCCAGTAGTTTTTTCCTAATTCTTATTTTTCTAAGATCACATTTCTCTGTATTTATCTGATTAACTGTTACTTATTGATGCTGTGCAATACAAGGTCTACACTTGGATTTGTTTTGTTTTTATGGTACCTTGGTAGATGGAAGCTGTTCTTGTTGTCAAGAACTGTAGAAAAGGGCGACTTCTGGGCCCCCCCCTCTCTTGGGGCCCCAGAACCTTGTCCAGAAAAAAAAAATAATAAAAGAACTGTAGAAAAAAGTGTGATTGAAAATTTATTTTACAACCTGATTTGATGCATGGTATTTACTTTGCAAATGTGAGTGGTGCGCTATAATGTACTTCACTGCAGGAAATTCACTGTGCGGTCAATTTCACTAATGTGACTCTTGAATGCTCTGTCATGAATTCAAGACCCAAGTTTCCATGATGAAAGTTCCAGGCCAGGTATAGTGGCATGCACCTGTAGTTCTGACTCCTGGGGCATCTGTGGTGGGAGGATTGCTTGAGTGTAGGAGTTGAAGGCCAGCCTGAGCAACACAACAAGACTCCATCTCTAAAAATAAAACCCAAACTGGTCAGGTGCAGTGGCTCACACCTGTGATCCCAGCACTTTGGGAGGCCAAGGTGGGAGAATCAGTTGAATTCAGGAGTTTGAGACCAGCCTGAGCAACATAGCAAGACCCTATCTCTACAAAAGATAGAAAAATTTGCTGGGCATGGTGGCACACACCTGTAGTCCCAGCTGCTGGGGAGGCTGAGGCGCAGGAAGATCCCTCGAGCCGAGGAGTTTGAGGCTGCAGTGAGCTATGATGACACCCCTGCACTCTAGCCTGGGCAACAGAGTGAGACCTCATCTTAAAAAAAACCCAAATAAGCAAGTTTTCAGTGAATCCTTGCTTCCATTATTTTCATCAGGTTTGGGAATAATATTCTTATTTGCATGTACACACATTTACTGAAAAACCACAAGAGCACAGAGAAGCACATCTTCAGGTGAATAATGACCTGGCTTATGGAGTGCAGAGGGTGTGTGCTCACACTCGCCCATTGGACAGGAGCTAGTTTTTGTCTGCATCTAACTGTAGAAGACTCAGCACATGCATGCTGGTTTTAGGGGAACCCCTGGGCTACTGATACCCTTCCTGGTACATTCCCTGAAGTTCTTTGGATAGCAGTGACGAGGCCAGCCTGAGTTGCCACCTGGGAAGTCATTCATGGCACAAATGTGGTTTCCCCAAGTTGGAGCCAGTCCTGGAGGCTGGCACTAGCTTTGTCTTGCCAAGCAAGAAGCTTCCCCGGGCGTTGGTCACTTGGGGATCCAGATGGTTGTAGATGACAAGATAACTGCCCTGCTCTTCACCAGAGCTGCTGCTATTGACTCTGCCTACAGGATCTTTCGAGCTTTTCCAGGGCCAGGGGTTGGTGGCACCCAGCCACTTTGTCCCAGGTGAGGGGTGCAGGCTGTGTTCCTGGAGACCCTGCCTGGTATTCATCTGAGCCAAGCTGTTTCCTGCGGGTAGCCTTTTCTCAGAGGATTTCCAACACAGTTGTTTACCGCTAGCCAAGCTGGGCAGTTGTTAGCTAGGTTTTAATAGAAGGCAGAGCCTGCTGCCGTGTGCTTGTGGATTGAGCAATTCTAGCGGGAGGACTAGAGCATGTGAATAATTTTAGAGTTGGCACAGATCATGCGTGTAGTTACTGTAGTTTATTGCTGGCTGCAATCACATCATTTCGGTAACAGTGACCTAATTTTATATTTGTGTTGTAACTTCAGGAATCTTAAGTGGAACTCTCTGTGTATTCCCTACCACTCCACCTTGGTAGGTAAGAACGCGAGTTTTGGAGTTGGACCTGGGTTTGATTTCCAGCTCCCCTGTTTGCCAGCTGTGACCTTGGGCAAGTTTCTTGACATCTTGGTTTTCTCATTAGAAAATGGGGACAGTAGCAGTACCCATTTCCTAGGGTTCTGGTGGGAATTAAATGAGCTGCTCAAATACATTAATAAAAATATGTATATATGGGTCACATTGTCTAGAATGTGCCAAAGAGTTTGGCAGAAGGAGTGTTCTGTATTTTCATTGTAAAAAGCACAAAAAGGAATCTGTCTACCTGTCTGTGAATCTACCTACCCACTCACCCGTCCTCCTGTCCCGGACCTGTGCCTTGCAAGGTTGTGTTGAAAGTCGTCTGCCGCCCAGAATTTATTTACGTTTTGTTTGCTGTAAAGACAGTTTTGGAAGTCCTTTGTCACATCAAGTTTTATTGTTTGTTTCATGCCAGGGGGGAGATTTCGACATGTCTTTTGTTTTCCCCAGGGCTGCAGCAGGCAGGCCTGTTTTGGAATCTGGCATCCTGCTGACCTTTTACCTACTTTCCAAGGCACCGCCTGTGGGCGGGGGAGTGGGAGGGACCTGTCTCGGGACGGCTTCTTGATTAGGATTCGCAGGCTGCTGACCTCAGAAGTGAAAGGTTTTAGGTAAGAGGAATTGATTATGGAGAAAGGGAACAAAGCGACCACGTTGGGAAAGCAAAGCGTCAGAGCAGTTTATTGGCCAAGGATTCGGGGGAGGTGTTGTGCACGGTTATGAAAATGAAGATACTCTTTCCAAAATGGAATGGGATATGTCAACATCTTCCCCTCACGTTGTCCATTTACCATTCAGTGTTGGAGAACTATCTGTGGTCCTCACGATTTGATTCAGAGAGTCACACCTGGGTTCGTGTCCTTGAAGCTTGCACCTTATTTTGGAAGATTGGACACATAGCTTACAAGTGACAGTCACGTGCAAGCAAGCGCAGGTGACATTGCTGAGCCCATCCTGTGGCATTCCCGTGCTTTGGGAACGTGGATTCGTGGCCATCAGAGCAGGTCCCT